AAACACCTCAGGATATTGTTGAAACAGTCAAATATTTAATTTATTAGTTTATATACATCTGCTTTAAACCATATCATATAAGAGATTAACTTAAAAGTAAATTTTTGTGGATTTTTTTAAACAATTTTTTTTCCTACTCTTACCAACTGTACCCAAGGGTATAAGCATCTAAAACTAGCATGGTGGGGAGGATGTAGCCCAGTGGTAGAGCGCATGCTTAGCTTTCACGAGGTCTTGAGTTCACTCCCCAGTACCTCCATTTAAATCAATCAGTCTGACATGAGTGAGGTCCTTTCATGCTGGTAAGGCTTCCTGAAACAGTATCTTGTTGTTCAGAACAAGCTAATACGTTCAAAATAGCCTGACCCTCTAGAAGATGATGATCCAACACCATTCCTTCTTTCTGAGGAGCATCGCGTGGCAGACGTGTGGCACCCAACACCAGTAGTGATGGTGGCCATGTGTCCAGGTTGACACCACTCGGATTGCTCAGAGCCCTCGGTGCTTCAGAATTACCTCATTCCAGCCTCATTACAACCCTGGGAGGTAGACACATTCATCCCATGTTGCAGATGAGGAAACTGAGACTTTCAGATTCACAAAACTTGCTTAAGAGCCTGGATCAGACCCTCAGTTTTAACTCCAGGACCGAGTTCATCAAGGCTATCCTGTGTTCTTCCTAAGCACACAGATAATGTGGAATAATTGGTGATGATTATTAGATTGATTGCATATTAATGGTGGCTTCCAAGAGCAACTGAATAGAGTTTGGGCTTCATTGGGGTCCTCAGCCGAGATGCCAACAGCAAAAGCCATAGCTGGCTGCCATCTCCCCGCCGTGGGTAGGGAGGGTGCCCATCCCTTCCTGGTTGGTTTCTAGGCAGGTTTCCCTGACGGAGAAGACTCACCCAGCCCCTGCTCACTCACGCTCCTCTCTCCAGGGTGGGCCTCTCACCGCTCCCCTGCGGGCCCCATTGTGTCTCCCCGATGCTCATCACCACTCGTTTCTTTCCTCCTCAGTTTAGGAGATAAGAGCGAGTAATTGTCTTTTATAGACACTGTAATGAAGCCTGTCATCACACAAAAGAAGTTTGCTAATAAAATAAATCAAAGCAGCCATGAAAATGAATGGGGAGCAAGCTTTTACAATTAGATTTGTGCTTGTCTGGTGGCATGGTGCTTCCAGGGAGAAGACTGTTCTGCAGGAGGAAACAGCGCTAAGAAAGGGATCGGCTGGGTGTGTTTGGGAACTCCTTAAGGTGGAACAAGGCTCCCCCAGCAGCCAGCTGCATCTCTCATGGGGCTGGAGGCTGAGAGAGGCATGGAGGGGGAACGAAGAAAGCCAACAGCAGAAAGAGGCTGCAAAGATGTCATCTCAGTGGCGTGTCTTTGTCCCCATCCAAATGTGATGGGGTCCCGACCAGACATGATTCTGGCTCCTGCCGGCACTGCAGCTCCTTTCCCTCTGCCGCCAGCTGGGCTCTTCTCCTGCTGGGGTGTTACCTGGGGGGAGAGGAGAACACCCTTGGGCTGCTGCCCAAGACTGTGCCCCGCACACATGGCCCTGTCACTCTCCTAGTGAGTTGCTGGTTCTGCCACCAGGTCAGTTAGAAAAACTACATCATCTCTCTGAGCTTCAGAGCTTTCTCCATTTGGGAAATCGGGCCATAGGATCAAAAACATGATGGTGTTGGGCGAAAGGGCAAATGCCAGATCATTTCAAGGTGGTGGTATTCCTCATCCTTTCGCAAACAGAAATGACTGACATGAATCAGGTTTGCTACGGGCAAGCATCAAGCTAAGTGCTCTTTACGGGTTGTCTCAAGTCATCCCAGCAGCCTTGCAAGGTCGCAGTGACTGTCACCTGCAGGTCACAGATGGGGAGAGTGTGGCTCCCCAGGTCACACAGCTGCACAGGTGGCAGTGGGACTGGAGAGCAGTGCCTACTTATAACCCCTGAGCTGTGGTTGTTGTGGGTCTTGGGTGGCTGCTGCTTCAGCTGTGAAGGGGAGTGGGGAGCTGGAGGGTTCACAGGTTGGTAACCTGGACCATGAGCTGAACCTGGGGTCCGGGACCAGCTCTGGCCAGCTCCCTGCCCCAGGGTGAGTCTGGCTGTTACCATGTCCCTGGATGGAGAGCCCCCTCCAGCCTCGGGATCCTGCCAAATAACCAGCAAACACCATGGGAGTGGTGCCTGCTGTGTACGACGTGTTCTGGGTGGTCAGGGGGAGTTCAGAAGAGTTAGGTGTGCCCTGCGCGGGGGCCCCCAGACTGCGCAAGTGCTCCCAGAGGACTCGGGTTGGCAGCAGCTTTCGCTGAACAGGTGTGCGTCTTTCTGAAGGCAGTTCACGTTCTGACTCAGCTGTCAACAAATCACGTCCAGGGCAGGGTAGCCGGGGAGGGAGCCCATCATCCGTCCAAAGCCAGGGCTCCTGCTGGGCTCCGGGCATCCCGGGAATCTGAGAGCATTTTGGATGCCTCAAACCTCTGAGTAGATCAAGGTCACTCTGGTCCCTCAGGAACTTTCAGGCTGATGGCCAGCACAGTCCAGGCCAAAGAAACCTGAGGTCACAGCATATACAAGGATTTGGAAATTGATCATCGGTCTACATAAAGGAAGGTTCCCTGCCAGGCAGAGCTGGAGACACAGCCTCGTTAGCTAATGCAAGTTTAATATGGGGTCGAGAGAGCTGGACGCTAGCCTAGTCAGCCGCCCAGGAGATGTTCAAAAATAGAGCACGATAAGGTGTCCCCACCTGCTCGGTGCTGCTCTGCCTCCCAAAAGGCAGGGGCCACCCAGCGGCAACCTGGGCTATATCCACCAGACAAAAGCGTGGCTTCCACATCAGTCACTTTGTATAAAGGAAGAGTTATTGTTATAGGATGCTGGCACCTGATCAATATCTCCTGCTTTGAAAATAAACTTCTTGGCTTGGCCTTGACATTAATCTACCATCAGGAGCCCATTATCTCGAGACCAATGTTCTGTTCTATTGACTTGCTCGATTTTTTTTTCTCTCCCCCAAGATCAGAACATAATTGCATTTCTCCAGGCAGCGTTTCCACTAATGGCAGCCCCACACGTGCCTGTCCACTCGTGGGAAGCCCGGGACAGAGTACGCCTGGCAGGAGATGATGAGGGACTGAGGACCCTCAGGTGTGCCAGGTGGAAGAGCAGCCTGTCTAGAGCCCCTGAATTAATCAGGACACGGAGCCAAATCCCCAATACCCCGTCGAGCAGTTCAAGCTGGAAAAGGCTCTTTTGCCAGAGAATTGGAGTTGTAGATGCTCCCCCTCCTACTCCTCACCCTACAAACAAGGGAAGATGGCAGCAAGATGAATACTAAATGTCCCAAACCCAGCTGTGTCCCACCATCACCACAACCCCATAAACCCTAAATTATGACTGCTTTTTATCTGCAAGAGCACTGGAGGCCTTCTCTCTCCCAACCCTGTACCCTCCAGGCCAATCTCCACTCCGCAGACAGAATCCTCTTTGTAAATCAGGAGTGGATTGTGTTGTTTCTGTCACTGAAGACTTTTGATGAAGACTCTTTCTTGTGCCCTGAGAGACCATTATGATTGTCCCAGCTCACCTCTCTGACCTCCCCTCCCGTACTCCTCCCTTTGCTCCCTCTGCTACAGACACCTGGCTCCCGACCTCAGGGCCTTTGCACTTGCTCTTCTCTCCGCCTGTTCTCTCACCCCTCAGATCTTTATGTTACTTTTGCCTTCTCATCCCTTAAGTCTCGCCTCAAATATTCCCTTCTAAGTGAGTCTTCCCCTGACAGGTGGGGGTAGTGCAGCATCCCATACATCCGAACAATGAGTCTACCCAGTTAGCATGGTTTGACTTCCATAAAGCACACATCACCATCTGAAACTCCCTGCATTGGTGGGCTACTGCCATAGGAAGAAATGCTCGTAAAGCAGTAGTAAACAGTGATTATCTCAAAGTTTGTGTGGGTCAGGGACTTGGGAGAGGTTTTACAGGATAGTTCTGTGTGGGTCTGTCATGAGGTTGTAGTCAGGGTATCAGCCACGGCTGCAGTCATCTGCAAGCTTGACTAGGACTAGACAATCCACTTACAAGTTGGCTCATCCACACGGTGGGCAAGTCAGGATCAGCAGGAGGCCTCGCTCCTCACCATCTGTCCTTCTCCATGGGGCTGTTTGAGTTTCCTCCCAACGTGGCAGTTGGCTGCCCCAACGCAAGTGATCCCCGGGAGTAAGGTGGGAGCCACAGTGTCCTTCCTGGCCATCACTGCTGTAGGATCCTATTGGTTACACAGGTCAGTCTTCATGTGACTCATCTGAGAGGGAACTGCCTAAGCGTGCCAATACCAGGAGGCAAGGATCACTGGGGGCCACCTGGGAAGGTGCCCACCGCACTGTCCCTCCATGAGAGCAGGGGCCTTGGCCAACTTACTCATTGCTGAATGTGCCCAGTACGATGTTTGGCATGTAGCAGGTACCCTGTAAATATTAATCAAATGTATAAATGCATCCTGGCAGCATCGAACTCTGCTGTGACTAGGTGCCAAGTCTTGTGCTGAGCATCTGACCAGCAACATCTCATCCTCTGAAACTGCCTCACTTAATCCTTTACAGATGAGGAACAGAGCCTCAGAGACGTTAGATGCCTTGATCCAAGGCACAAAGCTGGATAGGGGCTGAGTCAGGATTTGTAGCAAAGGATGTGAACCCAGGACTGCAAGGAGGCGGGGTGGGGTGCGGGGTGCAGGGCTCTGTTTAGCTGGGCATCTCAGTGGGTGCGAGTCTGCAACACAGAATCTGGTAGTGAGTAAGCACTGGGTGCCCTCCTCGCTGTTTCTACTGCTGCTGTGAATACTGTGTTTTCCTCCATCTCTAGTTCTGTGAGTGGGGGCTTTAGTACACAATCCAAGCTGATGCTTTCATGAATGCACCAAGGAACACTGGCCTTTGAGGAGGCAGGGAACTGGAGGCAGAAGTATCATCTCTCGCTTCTCGCCCTGCAGGTGTGGATGTGTGGAGGCCGCATGGAGGACAT